TAGGACAATCCTAAAGCCATATCATATATGTATTCTAAATTTCTAATCCATTGGATTTGGGATCGTAAAAATGTCAATGGCATCCCCGTCTTTGCGGCAACTCCAGACCGAGTATTATAGCCAACTGTAACCCTAACGCTGGCGAAGCCTACTTCTTGAGGGTTTCATTGCATGTCGTTCGCGCTCCATGTTTTTATATAAATATAAGAACAATTAATGGTGTTGTCCACCCTACTTTCAAAGTCATGTTATGCTTTGGGTTTAATTCAAGATGATACCGAGTATGTCGAAACTTTCTATGAAGCAAGTCAATGGGTACCCGCTCCTCTCTTCATGCTGTACATTGATTTGTTACATGCAGGTTCTATGATGAATCTCTTTCGTGTTTGGAGATCCATTCAATATTTTATAGTATAAGTTTTATCAATTCTTTGCAATGTTTTTGATTTTTTTTCCTTAATTATCTTATTTTAACATTTTTTTAGTTTTTTTTTGTTGTGTTTGGATTTAATTTACTTTCTAAATTTAATAATCATCAATAAAAATAAACAATTAAACAAATTTTTAATTAGATTTTGCTAATTAATAATGTATATATTGTTATTATTTTTACCCATTCATAATTGTTATAAAAGTTGTACTAATAGTTTTCATAATAAATCATATATATTGCTCCTACTTTTATTCACCTATAATTCTTATAACTTAGAAGTAGAAGTATAAAGAATAAGACATAGTTGATGATATAAGAACTCAAAAAAGATGAATTTGAATAAAACCATGGAGAAGAATAAGAAGCAAATGAGAACAAAAAATAGTGAAGAAGAATAAGGATAAGAAAAAAATATTTTGGATTAAAGAAGAAAATCGGAAGAAAAAATGAAAGATGATAAAAACAAAGTAAAAGAAGAGGAAATGGGAAAATAAAGTAGGTAAAACTGAGAAAAAGATGAAGAAAAACAAGAAGAAGAAGAGTTTGATGAAGACCAAAGAGGAGTAAAAAGTAGAGAATAAAGAAGGCTAATACAAATTAAAAAAAGAAGAAGAACTGAGAGAATACAAAGATGATGAAGAAGAAATTAAATACAATGAAGAAGATGGAAGAAAAAGATGAGGAATAAGAAAATCGAAAGATATATAAAACGATGAAGAAGAAAAAGGAAAATATGAAGAAAAAGAAGATGAGCAAAGAAGAAAGAAAAGATGAAGAAGATATAAATCAGAAGATATAAATGAAATAGAAGTTGTAGATGATGAAGAAAAGGAAAGAAAATATAAGGACTAAGAAAATTGACGTCGATGATAAAGAAGAAATAAAAGATGAAGAAGAATACCGAAAAAAAAGGAAAAAGAAAAATTATGATAATACAAAAATATTGAAGAATAAGAAGGGGAAGTTGATGATGGATTTGGAGAAAAATGGAGATAGAGAAAATTTGAGTTAAGCTTTCAGAGACATGTTATATGAATAGAGAGAGAGAGTGTGAATGAGAGAAATAGAGAGGGAGAGAGAGAGTTAAATCTTATAAGTACATGATATTAAATCTATGTTAGTTCGTATTTTCTGTGTTCCTATTTTTTATATTTGAAACACTTCTTCCTTTAAATGTAGTTATCTAAATCATATGATATATACAATTTAGGACGAGAGGGGAAAGGAGAGAATAAGAGAGAAATATTGAAAGAGAGAGAAGGAGAGAGAGAGAATGATATGGAGGAATGCATGGAGGAGGAGAGAGAAAGAGTTAAAGTTTAAAAGTACATGTATTTGATAGATATAAAAGACGAAGGAAAATAAGAAGAATCTGAAATCAGAGAGAGCGAAGAAGACGAAGATGATAAAGAAGAAAATGAGGAAAAGATGTAGAAAAAAACCAAGAAGAAAAATATGTGACAAAAAAATAAAAAATAAGAAGTAAAAAAAGACGTATAAAATGAACAGGAAAAGAAAAAAGAAATAAAAAAATGAAAGAAAACTAAGAAGAAAAAATAAGAGGAAATAAGATGAACAATAATTATGTAGAAACGAAAGACTCGCTTTTGTCTTAATTTAATTTAATTAGTTTGTGAATTCAATACATTTATTTAGTAAACATTTTTTTTTTAATTTTGGATGGTGTTTACGTTGTAGATTTGTTTTATTTTATTATGTATGTGTTAAATAGTTTTATTTTAATTATTTTTAGTTTTTGGTTTATAACATTGAAATCCCTATGTCCGCACAATGTGCGGGCCAAACACCTAGTTTCTTCATAAAAATTAAGACCGCCACAAAAGCTTCACTGCCTTATTCCATCACCGACGTTGTTTAGAGTACAATCTGTTTGACAAACAAAACTAAAGAAATATCTTCTCTTAAAGAACCAATATTAAAGTTTTGGCAGACATTGTAGAAACTACAATTTATATTGCTCATAGTGTATATTTGCGTCGTGTTATGTGAGTAAATTACATACCCTTGTCGTTTAGGCACTATGCAGGTCCAATGTCATAGAGATCGCTTTTACCTGCAAAAAAACGCATCAAAACATTTGTTAAAACCAAACAAAACCTGAAAATTAAGTCCCACGAATCAATCAAAGAAGGAAGAGACTCACCATTGTGGATGAAGGGCTTGAAGAGTCTAGAGGTCCCGATCTTCTCCCGTCCCAAAATCGGCTTGTTTTATCTCCCTGCGATTTACTCTGTTCCTTGGAAGAGAAACTAAGATTCTCTCTTCCCTTTTGTAAAGCTCTTAAACGTCCTCTCAGCAACCCAACTTCACTCTCTATTCTCAGTCTTTCATAGTCAATAGCTGACATTGAGTTTCTGCGCATAGTCGGACATATGTTCCTTTGTCCTTGTGGACATGCAGGTGTATCTGAAACACTTTGTGACCTGTCCAGTTTGAGATCCCGAGTGACATGGTTAGAAGAAACATTTAGCTGCACTTTGTTATCTTCATTAGTTACCACATGGATATCATGTACATAGCAGGAGTCCTCACGAAGCTTCTTAGAATCAGAGATGTTGCTAGTTCTTGAAACTGATTCAAGAAATGAAGTGCCACACTCTCGTTCTTTCGGTTCTGCATCAACCAGAAGTCCATAATTTCTTGAGCTTGACTGATCAACCTCATAATCACCAAGCGCAAGAATACGACTATCCATCTGATTAGCGAAGATCTCAAATCCAGCAGTCTCCATGTCATCTAATGGCTTTGAATCCGGCGTGTTGGGAAGAGGTTGCTTAGTCTCAAGAAACATTTGCCTGTAGGTGTCAACTTCCTTCTCCAGAAAATGTTTCTCCCTCTCCCTCCTCAGCAAAATCTCTTTGAGAATGCTCATCTCCTCCGCATCGAAAGCAGACTTCTCTTCTATCATCCTATGATATTGCCTAGCTTCCATCTCTATCGACGCTTTCTCCTCTTGTAAACGCAGTATCATACCCAAAGCCTCATCCGCAGCTGTCGCGGCAGCACTTCTCTCTTTCTCCAGCTCAAGAGCTAATCCAGCACGCGCTACTCGCTCCTCCGCAAGCACTTGTTCAAGAATCTCAATCGGCTTTCGTGTTAGATCCACAGGTGAGATGCACGTACCTTCTCCCGCCCATGAAAATGTCCATCCAGGTTGTTTGTTCTGATCACCAGCTTCATCACATCCAATCGAACTTAGTGAAATACTTTTCCGCAAGGATACGTCCTCCAAGGCCTTTCTTCCTTCTACATTGTCATATTATTTATCAGAAATCAAATATGCACAATCCCAAAAGGAAGTAACAAAACACTCAGCTATAAAGTTACTGACCTTTCGAGTTAACAAGAAGAGGATCATTTTCATCAGCATCCTTATTCTTTAAACTACTTTGGCAATGGTTCTTGAGACCATACGGGGACCTATGGAAGCTGAGCCGCTTACTCTTAACTTTAAAGCTTCCTTTCTTTAAACTCTGCGAGGTTAGGAGATCGAACCCCGAAGCATTCTCAACCTCTCGATCCAACTCAACGTGTCTACACCCTCCTTTTCTCTTCTTGCCAACACACTCGCCACCATTTGCTTCTTCATTCAGAACTGAATCAAAAGGTGTTCTCTTTTTCACTGATCTTTGCACATTCAAGATCTTTTTCACCGGAAGGTTCCTTAAAGATTCTTGTAAACACTTGTTCTTGTGCGGGTCACTGAATAGGCCATCACAAGGGCACGGGAGGTTCAGACCGAACAAACTGAGCAGCTTCGAGGATAAATATACCAGACAAGAGGCGCAAAGCAGAGAGAAAGCTACAGAGAGATCAACAAACGCAGCCACCAAACCTGTAAATGTCCAAGATCTTACTTCTTGGCAACGCATTTTTAAGAAAATCTACACCTGCAAGAAGCCAAACTCGATGATTGAGAAATTTTGGTTATAGAACAATTTTCATTTGAATCAGCTATGGATAAATACAAGATCTAACAATATCTTAATTAAAATACACAAAACCAAAAAAAAAAAAAAGAAATTTAACACTAAATCTTTTACAATATACAGAGAAAAATCTTGGAAAATTACCAGAAGTGTAAGTATATACAATCGATACGAATATGGTAAAGCTGAAAAAAAAATCAATCTTAAGTGATTTCAAGCATCAAAAAATAGAAAAACTTAAGCAACAAAAGGAATATTTATATAAATTAACTTAAACCTAATCGATGCTTCAAATGAGCAGTACAAATATCGATTTTCCTTGCCATTTTCCCGAGAAAAAAAAAAGTAACGATAGAAATCGAAGAGGTGGGAAAATCGAGAAAGTGTAAATTGACAACAATCAAACTAAAAACTCACCGAAGGATCGTTGCCGAGAGAAAATCCTTTGTGATTTGATTAATTTTGAGCGGAGAATAAAAACTTCCACAAAGAAGAAGTTGAGAAATCCATGGGAAGCACAACGTAATACTCTTCCTCTGCCGTTTTTTTTTTTTTCAAAATCAAAACCTCTATTTTTTTTTGTTTTTTTTTTTTTTCAAACTTCAGTTGCAGATCAACGTACGGGTGCGTTCATACGCCGCCGTTTCGTCAGCCGACCCATTTTTGACACTTGTGCGTAAGTGTGAAGTGTGTCTGTCGAGATATTGTAAAAATGTTTGCAAGTTCTTTAAAAGGGGAATTGCTGGGGAATTGCTAAAAATAACCTGAAATTTGATTTGAAATGGACAATTATATATTTTTTTTAATTTAATCTAAAGCAAAAATAACTAAAAGGTACAAAAAGTACAATTATATCATCTATGAAAAAAAAACAGAAGTTTTAATCACGGTTAAAATATTTTTAGAAAAATCTTATTGTAAACTTTATATAAAATTTACTCTGGAATTAAATCTTAAATTCAAATTCTAAAATAATTTGGTTACAATTTTGTATTCATACACTAAATATAATGAATTTTGATGTATAAAAATTATATTTTTCATATTTATAGACTTTGATTTATGGTTTTGAATATTGAGTGCAAAATATTTGATTTAAGGTTTAGAGTTAGCTAAACCAATTATTTTAGCTGAGATATAAACCAAAATTAAACCAACGAGTGTAAGAGGTAACATATTTCAGTTGAAATCCGTTAAACCGAGAATAATTATCCTAATCGAGATATAAACCAAAATAGAACCAAAAATATTTATTCTAACAAAAAAAAAACTTCCTATAACCGATAAAAGTTATCCGACATATAAAAATAATTTTACTCCAGTAAAACAATATTTTAGTGAAAAAAAAACCTAGACGGCGTATCTCGCTCTCTGCACTAGTTTCCTCATCCTGACGTCGATTTCCTGTTCGCCACCGTATCAGGCAAGTTTTCTTCCTCCCTCTTCCGCCCCATTCGTCTTTATTCCTCCATCTTCCTCTTTGGATAAATAGAAACTTGATATTTTTTTTTTTTGCAGATTAGGTTTTGCCGCCGATTACCTTTCATCACTGCCAAACTTTTCGTGTTGTGAAACGGTAAGTAGATGTAATTCCGAAGCTATATACATCACTCTTTCTCTTTCTTCCTCATTTTGCCGTTGAAGATAATTTAATTTTGTGGATCTTGTTGCCTCTCGTCGCGACCGATTACATCTCTTCACCACCGGTTGCCTCTCGTCACCACTGATATCTCCTGTTACTTTCGTGGGTAACTACTCTCTGATTTGTATATTTTAGTAGACTTCTTATGGTATTAGTAGACTTTTTATGGATTTAGTAGACTTCTTATTGAATTTCATAGATATCTTAATGATTTTAGTAGTTTTATTTCTGATTTAGTAGACTTCTTAATAATTTTAGTAGACTTCTTTTTGATATTAGTACACTTCTTTTTAATTTTAGTTAACTTCTCATATATAGTTTGAAGTCATCAGGCTTTTTATTCATGCTTTTTACCGCTTTGATTAGACTACTCTTTGGATTATGGATGGCCCGGAATTCCCACCAAGGTAGTACATAAAAGGCGATGCGTCCATCCCTCAGAAAAGCATCCGCTACTTTGCTGATGATACAAGGTTGGTTCATGCAATACGCAAAGCACTGAAAGAAGATGAATGGGCAGGGCTTTATGAGTCCAGATTGGTTGTGTTTTAAAGTTCCACAAACTAGATTTTGGTTGGGCATCAAAGCTGGGTTACTATATTCTCTGTTTTCAGCTACTCTGCAAGAAGAAGTACAAGATATGGAGTCTAACTGGTGTACATCCAGTGAGGTTTTTATTGAATGAGTTTTAGGTACTTACTGGACTCAGCTGCGAATATGTGAATGATCTGACATATCATGAGGTTGAGGATACAGATGAAATGCATGAATTCTGGGAGAAAATGTAGTAAGCTGGCTTCATCACAGAAGAGTCATTTGCAAAGAAATAGCACCGCAAAAGGAATCATTCCTAACCAGATAGTTTAAGGTCGTGGATATGATCCTTTTGATGAAACTGGTGTTAAGCAAAAGTTGATCAAGTGCTAATTGATTTTATAAAACTTAATCTGTAAGTCACCACTATTTTTTTAATAATAATTTATCAAAAAATCCTAACCCACTTTTTAACTAGTTATTTTATATACAACGCTTGGCCAAAACGTCTTAAATGGTCTTCGATTGAATGGTATTGGATTCTGCGAACACCGAAGAAATGGCTAGCAGATAAGATCTGTGTTTTCTAACTTAAGTCAAAATCTATACATACTAATAGGCTTCATTAATATACTTCACTAGTAGACTTCATTAATAGATTTCATATTAGACTTCAGTACTAGATTAGTTTAATAGATTATTTTATTAGCACATGAAAGTTGGGATCGATCTACTGAGGCTTAGATTCTTAAAGGATCCAGAGTGGTTAGGTTCTGATTGGATTTGCTTCCACAATTCTCTTTTTTCCACGATGTGGAGAGGCATGTTCAATGAGTTTTTGAGTCTCATGCTAATGAAGATGGTTCTAGCAAAATTCTCCCACCTAGAGTGTATCAGTACTACACAAGAGAATACCCAACTTATTGCAAAACTGATAAAACGTGGAGGTATGAAGTCAATAATTTGTATTCCATATTACACATCACTGAAGATCATTGGGTAGCTATGTGGGTTTCAATTCCAAGGAGACACATTGTGATATGGATTAGTCACACTCAGACTCATGCCTCAGATGCAACTATTACAGCATCTGTGAAGCCTATTTCTGTCCTGGTGTCGTACATACTTCGTAAGTGTGCACCCGCAGAAGATGGGTACAAATACTGATAAACAAGAGTTTTTCAAGCCCTTGGGGGATCAATCCCTTTATTTGTTGTAACATTAAGAGTTAGCAATCCAACATATGGATTTAATTCATTAGACTATGTGATCAGTTCTCAATCCAAGCAAACAATAACATATTTGGTAACAAGAGACACTAAGCAGTTCTAAACAAGATTAAAAACTTAAAAAAACAATAAACAAAGATAGCAAATGATTAAGAGATATGAATATGATAAAACTTAGAACTCTAGACATGATAGTTGGCTAGCGTGCATCAGGGTTTAATCAAGGAGCTAATGACAATGATGATGAATGATTAAAGCAGCTTAGGATTCAAATCAAGTTTCAGTCTTTCTCAAGCATCAAAACACAATACCAAACATTGCTTGTACCTAATCATCATTAGAGACACAATGAAACGTGTTGATATATGATATCGACAAAGGGGAAAAACAGTAACTTAGATCGGAAATTCGGTTTTTATTAATATCAGATTGGAGAAATACAACTGATTTCGGGAGTTTCCTTTTTTATTCTGGAGTTTCCTTTTTCATCCTTTCATGGGCCAAGTTCGGCCCAGGAGCTCATTCGGCTCAATCTTCCCGGTACAGTTCCTTTGTCAACCGGGCTTAATTTCGTGCCGATCTTGCTTTGTACCGGAGAAAACCGGGGGTGCAGTTTTCGCCTCCAACAGTTAGCCCCCCCCCTCAGTTCGGCGAAAAGGGGTTACTTTTTTGTTGAACTCATTCGAGTTTGATTTCAAAATTAGGTAACAAATCGAGCTCGGTAGACCCAGTCGATTCGCTTTCCCAAGCGTTTTAAAATCCGAATTTAATGTGGAGCGTGAAATCCGGAGTGTTGCGAAAATCGAGGAACCACGATTCCCACTGTTGCTTTATAGCACGACGTCCACTTCGCATTCCTCATTTCTGCTTCAGCATATAAAAGGTACGCCGCTCTCACTTCTCTCTAGAATAATTTCTCTCTCTAGTTTTTTGTTTGTCGAATTCCTTACTTCTCTCCGCTGCACTCTTTGAATTTTCTGGTCAATCTTTAAACTTTTTGATTTATCTTCAAATTTTTCAATCTATCTTCATCCTGTTCTTCAATCTTTTTCTTTCCGATCTCATTTTTCGATCCAAACTGTCTTCCAACTCTTCTTCAAACGACGTTTCTTCTAACCAAATCCTTCCCAAAGATTGTCGCGAACCCTCCGAACCTACCACTTCATCACATGACTCTAGGTCAGCTAGTAATCCCCCGACCTTGGTTCGTACGAACTCTAGGTCAGTGGACGCTGGAAGTAGCCAAGCTAAATCGACAGTCGAGCCGCCTGAACAGTTGGTGAATGAGGCTAGGGAAACAGGGGCCCAAGTTGCTCCAAATGCCGATGATGAAGATCTCAATTTCGATGAAAACAATGAGATCGAGGAGGTTAATGAACTCAAGGAAGGAAACCTCGATGAAAGAGACGATGCCGAGATCAACGTCGAAGTCCAAGCAGTGGATGTTGCTTTTTCTCCAACACCAGCTCGGGGGATTGTCTGTCCTCGAGATGTGCCCGCATCTTCTTGCTCTCCCGAGATGATCCTATCTGCTCTTAAAGCGTGCAGACTCACAGAAGGCGCAGCCTACATTGCTCCTGATGCCGGATATCGCCCATGGGATGCTCCTGAAGACTTCCTTTGCGCCTACATTGCTCCTGATGCCAGAGATCGCCCATGAGATGCTCCTGAAGACTTCCTTTGCGTTTATCTGGACTACTGCACCTCGTGCGGACTAGAGCTCCCGATCCCATCTCGCCTACTAGGCTACTGCAACCGACGAGGCGTAGCTCTCTCGCAGATGATGCCTGCATCGGTGACGAACTACACGGGGTTTTGTTCACTGTGCGTCGAGAATCAAGATCCAACCAACCGAATTTTTGAGGATCTTTTTTTCTGTCAATCTGCACCCAACAAAGGATTGGTTCTTCTCGGCCAATGCTAAGCCCCAGCGAGATATCGTCACTGGCGTGCAGTCCAGCAAATAAAACGATTGAGAGTCACACTACTTCTTCCTCGAGATTAACATCTTCACCGTTAGCGAGACTGATATTCCCATTAAGTCGGAGTGGCGGATTCCGATTGGTAGCTTTAGACGACCTAAACTTTTATTTTCCTAACTTTTATCCTTTTTAATCTTGTTTCTTTGTTTGCGTAGGTGTTCATCTTCCAAGCATCCTCCTTAACTTCAGACTCACAACAGCA